GCCCCAAAACATCACTGCTCTAGAGGAGATCTGCATGGAGGAATGGGCCAAAATACCAGCAACAGTGTGTGAAAACCTTGTGAAGACTTACAGAAAACGTTTGACCTGTGTCATTGCCAACAAAGGGTATATAACAAAGTATTGAGAAACTTTTGTTATTGACCAAATACTTATTTTCCACCATAATTTGCAAATAAATTCATAAAAAATCCTACAATGTGATTTTCTGGAATTTGTTTTCTCATTTTGTCTGTCATAGTTGACGTGTACCTATGATGAAAATTACAGGCCTCTCTCATCTTTTTAAGTGGGAGAACTTGCACAATTGGTGGCTGACTAAATACTTTTTTTCCCCACTGTGTGTGTGTGTATATGTATATATATGTGCATATATATATATATATATATGTGTGTGTGTGTGTGTGTGTGTATATATATATATATATATATGTAAACAAGGTTTGAAATGATTATGTTGTAGTCAAATATTTTATTTCTTTAGTCATTTTTAGCTGACGCTCCTATCCAGAGCGAACCCACAACCCTGTTGTTGCAAGTGCCATGCTCTACCAACTGAGCTACACGGGACCCTGTTTGCTTCTTGTGGGTCAATTTGCAGTCTACAAATAATTAGTAATTATGTTCCGGCCTCCCGACCATCCGCTCAAGAACAAGTCATCCCGTGTCTGAATCTAGTTGATGATCCCTGGACTAGGGGAACTCCGGGGTAAATGAGAAGACTCCTACCATAACAACTGTGTTGAACCCTGACCTGGCCTTATCTCGTCATGTCCACATTGGAATCCTCATGGGACGTGTTGTTTAAAGGGACGCTCCTCTTGTTGATTTGGGGATTTAGGATGCAGACTGTTCTCCAAACAGCCTGGCTGTGTCCGTACCTCCTGTTGTTGACGTGATTGAGTAATGTGTGTGACACACACGTAACCTGTGGACCAGCTGGATGGCTACGTTTGTGTCCCAAATGGCCCCCCAGAGGGAGACTGGGGGGAGAGGGAGACTGGGGGGAGAGGGAGACTGGGGGGAGAGGGAGACTGGGGGAAGAGAGAGACTGGGGGAAGAAAGAAAGAGACGGGGGAAGAGAGACTGCTCACCTCACCACCGTCTCCTCTAGCACCTCACACTCTTGAGTGTGGATCTCATTTCCATTGAACACACACATTCCTTAGTGTAGGCCATTTCATTGATCTGATTGGAAATGGCTGGATGCCTGACACTAACCACCCCTCATCACGCTGAGACACCCCTTCAACCCTCTAACTTATGCTCCTGTATAAATACTGTTCCTCTCTTCATTCTCTCACTGTAGCTTGGTGAATAACTTTTAGAATTTGGTGAAGAACTTTTAGAACTTGGTGAAGACCTATTTAGAACTTGGTGAAGACCCTTTTAGAACTTGGTGATGAACTTTTATCCCCCAGTTGTGGAAAGTAAGTTCCCTCTGATAGCCAGCCAGCTACAGATACATGGCCTTAGTGTTTAGTGCTGACTTTACCCACCTAGCTGACGGCGTTATGCCTGGGACAGTGTCAAACTGTAAACAAAGCGGGCCTCCCGAATGGTGCAGCAGTCTAAGGCACTGCATCACAGTGCTTGAGGCATCACTACAGACCCGGTTTCGATCCCAGGCTGTGTCGCAGCCGGCCGCGACCGGGAGACCCATGAGGCGGCGCTTAATTGGCCCAGCGTCGTCCGGGTTAGGGGAGGGTTTGGCCGGCCGGGATATCCTTGTCCCATCGCGCTCTAGCGACTCCTGTGGCAGGCCGGGCGCATACACGCTGACACGTTATACGGTGTTTCTTCCGACACATTGGTGCTTCCGGGTTAAGCGAGCAGTGTGTCAAGAAGTAGTGCGGCTTGGCAGGGTCGTGTTTCGGAGGACGCATGGCTCTCGACCTCCGCCTCTCCTGAGTCTGTACGGGAGTTGCAGCGATGGGACCAGACTGTAACTACCAACTGGGGAGAAAAAGGGGTAACGAGTACAAAAAAATGAACTGTAAACAAAGGCCAGATAACCACCCTCAGGCCGGGTGACGCACTCCGTGCTTTGACCCCCATAGAGATGACCCAAACCCAGCCCACACACACACACACGCACACACGGCCACATAAAACAGAAATAACACCACTAATCACATTAATACACTATCGCCCAAACTCCACAGAAAATAAAAGCCCAGTGTTCTCTTCAGAAGGCCTGCTACGTTGGGTCAAGATTTTAATCTTGATCCAAATCCTCCCCCCCCCCTCTAATTTACAGAGTATTTACTTGTGAATTTGAACCAGCCCTGGAGTCAGTCTCTAGCTAGCTTCTTTCAATAAAAGACAGAGAGAGGAGGAAGTCTTCATCCGGTTAAAAGACGGAGCCTCTGTGGTTAGGGCTGAGGAGGGTTTGATCTCTGGGTGTGTGTAATGCCTACAGCCTCGTAGCCACACTCTTTGTCTTGCAGGGCCACTTTTATCCCTGACAAACGCTTATCAGATGAGCTCTCCTCTAAGCCCCTGTTTTCAGACTAAGCGCCGTTCCGCCGGCCCGCTGCAAAGTGTGTGGCCCGGCCCTGTGGTGCTCTCCGTGTGTGTGTCTGTCTGTCTGTCTTTGCATGTGGGGCTATTACCATTTTATCCTATAATCTCCACAAGTCCGCATATCTCAATCAGACCATGAAGGCTGTATTGTAGATCTGTGATGGTGATTGAGCAATTGTTCTATTCCCTTTTTTCAGTCTGCTGTTAAGCCAGGTGTTCAGTATTCTCTCTGTCGTTAAGCCAGGTGTTCAGTATTCTCTCTGTCGTTAAGCCAGGTGTTCAGTATTCTCTCTGTCGTTAAGCCAGGTGTTCAGTATTCTCTCTGTCGTTAAGCCAGGTGTTCAGGATTCTCTCTGTCGTTAAGCCAGGTGTTCAGGATTCGCTCTGTCGTTAAGCCAGGTGTTCAGTATTCGCTCTGTCGTTAAGCCAGGTGTTCAGGATTCTCTCTGTCGTTAAGCCAGGTGTTCAGGATTCGCTCTGTCGTTAAGCCAGGTGTTCAGTATTCGCTCTGTCGTTAAGCCAGGTGTTCAGTATTCTCTCTGTCGTTAAGCCAGGTGTTCAGTATTCTCTCTGTCGTTAAGCCAGGTGTTCAGGATTCGCTCTGTCGTTAAGCCAGGTGTTCAGGATTCGCTCTGCTTAGCTCACTATATTGCTTGTTGAATTTGTTGGTGGTGAAATACAAATGTGGGGAAGTTGGATTAAGATTGTCTTTCTTTGCCTCCTTCCCTCTCTATCCTTTTTCTTTCTCCCCCCCATCTTCCCCCTCTTCCCTCCCTCCCTCCCTCCCTCCCTGTGTCCCTCCCTGTGTCCCTCAGTCCTCTCCATGCGGTGGGCTTTGCCTTAGCCTGTGGGGTCCCTGGTATCACCCTGTTGACCCTGGCTGTGAACCCTCTAACAGGGGCCTTGGGGGCCCTCAACATCTTCCTCTACACCTGCTGTTACACCCCCCTGAAGAGGCTCAGCATCACCAACACCTGGGTGGGGGCTGTGGTGGGGGCCATTCCCCCCGTCATGGGCTGGACGGCTGCTACAGGTGCTCTGGATCCAGGTACTGAACTGGAGGACACGCTGTACGCACACACACACACACACACTAACCAGGGTTCTATGGTCCTCTCCAACACACATAGTCATGATACTAGGTCCTATGGGTCTCTCTCTCTCACACACACTGATACACCCACTCTTATATTTCACGATGAAGCAGTGGGTTTATGACAAGCTGTTCAAACAGAATGTTGTTAAATGTGGGATTGAGGAGACAATATAAGGATACACCCACACTTGTTCTTCCAACTTTGTGCCAAAGAGCAGCTATGGTCTGTTAGAAAGTTAATATGGCCATGTTAGGCTCTGTGTAATACATTGGCATTTGTTCCTACAGTTACTTATGTTAAACTCTGATAAACTGGATCAAATCTGACTCTTCAGAGCGAATCAGACGTGGATTATTGTTTTCCAAACTAGATATCCAGCTAGTGAGAAAGATGGTGTTTATCGCAACCTGAAGTAACATGTTGTGTGGTCACTCCCAGGAGAGTTAGGAGCTAGGCTGTAGTTTAGGTTTTAAAATGCCCTCAAGTCTGTCTCCACTGAACTGAAGCTATTATATAGGTAGAATGATGTTTCTACAGTTTGTCTTGTCATAACACTTTGTCTCTGTTTGACTCCCTGAGACCTCTTTCACAACTGACATTCAACACAACAGAGTGCATGTCTTTCACTGGGTTGACGAGGACCTCTATGACCAGGCCTGACCCCCCCACTACGACCAGCCTTTTATTTACATACTCAACCACCCAGAGTATCACACTGATAACACATGCATACAGCGTCAAGGCTTTGTGTGTCTGTGTTTGTGCGCTTGCGTGTGTGTGTGCGGAAGAACAAGCGGGGGGGCAGACATGTTTGGCAGACATGTTAAGTGTTCTGTTATGGCAACTGGGAACTGTGTTGCAGCTTGTCACCGGGGTCTCTCACTACGGAACACACTAGTTTACACTCTCCAAGCCAATATCTTGGGACTTGCTCTCAACAAAATGTTAATCATGAATCTTTGGGCTTTTCATGTGGGAGTGAATGCATTTTATTGCCGTTTAACATTTCCGCTGGGGGATTTTTGTTGATGGCCTTTGCATTTAACGACGGCTCTCACATTATACAATACCATTCATACCCTTTACGGAAAACATACCCCCTCAGCTGTAAGTTGGCCTGTGACTTGGAAATTGGTCAATTGGACCTGTCAAGACAAAATAATGAATACAAGTCTAAACTGACAATAGTTACTATCATCAGTCAAGAAAATACTCTGCCCTGTGTGTTGCTACAATATGCTACACGCTAGTCCTGTTAGATCACTGTGTTTAGGTGACACAGGAGAGGTTTGCAGTACAGCAGCGCTACAGATTCCAATTCCCATAGCTCTGTCTGTCGCTGCTGCAAGGCCCTGTGTTGTCCTCAGGGATTTAGCCCTGTGTGCTACACGCATGTTTACAAAACGCAAGACGACCCGAGTAAAACACAAGGAAACCCTGTACATGACACTCTGCAGCGCTGTCTTTGTGCCGTGGCGGCCGGGCGGTTCTCCTGTTTCTGTCTCTGGTTGCGTGTTTACAGATTATACACAACGCCTCATCGTGACCCCCAGGCTGTCTGTTGCCCCACCCAACACACACACACCACACACTACACACACACACACACGATTTGAAAGGCGAGCCGATGGATGGATGGATCTCCTCTCTGTTAACTACAGGTCTAAGAGGAACAGAGAGTGACTGGGAGATTCCTTCTCTCTGTCTGGTGTCCACATCCATGTTCTCGTATTCAGTCACCCATTCATTCACCTCACAACCTATCCTGTACAAAGACCATGTCATAGGCTCAGGACAGTGACATGTCCACAATGGAGAAGTTGATTGTTGATGCAGTCAGATGAAGTGCAACACCATGAGTTTTGTGAATTCCTTATTTAGTCATTAACAATGTTTCTTTTTCTATTCTTTATCTTATTTTCCTTCTGTCTCTCTCTCTCTCTCTCTCTCTCTCTCTCTCTCTCTCTCTGTCTCTCTCTCTGTCTCTCTGTCTCTCTCTCTGTCTCTCTCTCTGTCTCTCTGTCTCGCTCTCTCTCTGTCTCTGTGGCTCTCTCTCGCTCTCTCTCTGTCTCTGTCTCTCTCTGTCTCTCTCTTGTCTCTCTCTCTGTCTCTCTCTCTGTCTCTCTCTCTCTCTGTCTCTCTCTCTCTGTCTCTCTCTCTGTCTCTCTCTGTCTCTCTCTCTCTCTCTGTCTCTCTCTCTGTCTCTCTCTGTCTCTCTCTCTCTCTCTCTCTCTCTCTCTCTCTCTCTCTCTCTCTCTCTCTGTCTCTCTCTCTCTCTCTCTCTCTCTCTGTCTCTCTCTCTGTCTCTCTCTCTGTCTCTCTCTGTCTGTCTCTCTCTGTCTAGGTGCTCTGTTGCTTGGTGGCTTCCTGTACTGCTGGCAGTTCCCCCACTTCAACGCTCTGAGCTGGAACCTGCGTGAGGACTATTCCCGGGGGGGCTACCGCATGATGTCTGTCACCCACCCGGGCATGTGTAAGAGGGTGGCCCTGCGCCACAGTTTGGGTCTGATCGGTCTCTCGGCCATGGGCCCCGTGCTGGACGTCACCACCTGGACCTTCCCTCTGGTCTCCCTGCCCATCAACCTCTACATCAGTTATCTGGCTTTCTGCTTCTACCAGAAGGGAGACCGCAGCTCCGCCCGCAAGCTCTTCTTCTGCAGTCTGTGGCACCTGCCTATGTTGTTGCTGCTGGCGCTCACCTGTAAGAAGTCCTGGACTGACCCAGAGGGCGTGGCTAAGACCTCAACCCTGCCCCTCACCCTGCAGCACTAAAGTAGCCCCTCAGACCCCCACCACCACGTGCAACCTCCAACTCCCAACACACTGGCCGTTACTTTTTCCAACCTCCCCTCGTACAATTGGAGGTAATCTCTTACGTTGTCTCCCTCCCTCTGCCTCTATCCTGAGAGGGAGACTAGGGACACACATTTAATCTGCGTCTGAGTGTGTACATATGTCTGTCGACTTATGGTGGTCACTAACTGCAACTCTCCAAGACAAAGGGACGGGGTGGAAGCAACATGGCTGAAATGGTTGATCAACAAAAACCACACACAAATTGTGAATTCCTGAAATGACTTCAGGGTGTAATTAATCACTTCAGTGTGTGTGTGTGTATATATAATGTATTTATATAGGAAGGCTGCCCTCTAGTCCCTGTCCATGTTGTACATGACTGTTGTTAATAAGGTTGTATAAATTTAAAATAAGGTACAGTATAAATTGCTCCTATGGGTTCGCAATAGGGCAACAATCTGCAAAGAAACCCATGCATTATATCAAACCAAGATGATGTAAACAAAGAAACCCATGCATTATATCAAACCAAGATGATGTAAACAAAGAAACCCATGCATTATATCAAACCAAGATGATGTAAACAAAGAAACCCATGCATTATATCAAACCAAGATGATGTAAACAAAGAAAAGCTAGAAAACTTTAATGGCCACAACGACGTGTAAGATAAATGAGGGACAACAGTAAAGATTTGTTCATCAATCTTTGAAATAAACGAATAAGGAAAGCAACCAAGCCACTGAAATGCAATTAGAACTTGTTTCTTGATTTTAGCTATTGCTAATGTTACTTGACTGTAACGATTGTCTATATGCCTCTTGGTTTTTGCTGTTCAGCAAACTCATTGGAGGGTATTATTCTGTCTGCTACATACTGCTCAAACTCTACACGGTTCACCTGCACCAAAACACAAGAGAACAGTTGACCTTTTAAGAGAGACAAAATGGTTACGAATGTTCTCTTACAATAAACGTCTTATGATTTAGCCAGTTGATTTGATTGACTTTTGAGTTGAGCCCATTTCAATTGATTGTCTGATTGTTCCGTACAGTATCATGGTGTTGTGTGTAATAGGTGTGTTGTGAGTCACATTCAAGCATAGAAATCATTGTGTTATCCCTATTTTCATATGGATAACACAATGCTTTCTAGGCTTGAATGTGACTCACAAATCAAATGAAATTGTATTTGCCACAAGCGCCAAATACAACAGGTGTAGACATTACAGTGAAATGCTTACTTACAAGCCCTTAACCAACAATGCCATTTTGAAAGTTTTTTTTTTTTTTTAAGTGTTAAGTTAAAGAAAATAACGCAAACAACTAAAGAGCAGCAGTAAAACAGTAGGGAGGCTATATACAGGGGGGGTACCGTTGCAGAGTCAATGTGCGGGGGCACCGGCTAGTCGAGGTATTTGAGGTAATATGTACATGTGGGTAGAGTTAAAGTGACTATGCATAAATAATAGACAGAGTCGCAGCAGCGTAAAAGGTGGGGGTGCAGTGCAAATAGTCCGGGTAGCAATGATTAGCTGTTCAGGAGTCTTAGCCTTTTGGACCTAGACTTGGCACTCCGGTACCGCTTGCCATGCGGTAGCAGAGAGAAGTCTATGACTAGGGTGGCTGGAGTCTTTGACAATTTTGAGGGCCTTCCTCTGACACCGCCTGGTATAGAGGTTCTGGATGGCAGGAAGCTTGGCCCCAGTGACGTACTGGGCCGTACGCACTACCCTCTGTAGTGCCTTGCGGTCGGAGGCCGAGCAGTTGCCATACCAGGCGGTGATGCAACCAGTCAGGATGCTCTCGATGGTGCAGCTGTAGAACTTTTTGAGGAAAAGAGGGGCTTTCATGATTGAAATCAAATCTTGATATTGATTTGAGTGGGAGGGCATTGTCTTCCAACAGGTGGCGTTGTTCCTACGCGACGGGCAGTCCTCAGCGCAACGACTGTCGTTTTTTTTTTTTTTTTTTTTTTAGCAGACGCTCTTATCCAGAGCGACTTACAGTTAGTGAGTGCATACATTTTTCATACTGGCTTTCAGTTGAGGACTGCCCCTTCGCGTAGGAACAACGCCACCTGTCGGAAGACAATGCCCTCCCCCCATTGTCTTATGTCAGATAGCGCAACGACTGTACTTTAAGTTATCTGACATAAGAGAATGGGGGTAGGGAGGAGTCTTACAGATTTGTGTAGATACAGTGCATTCAGAAAGTATTCAGACCTCTTCACTTTTTCCACATTTTGTTACGTTGTTTTTTTCCCTCAATCTACACACCAGTACCCCATAATGACAAAGAAAAAACAGGTTTTTAGAAATTTTAATTTACATAACTGTTCAGACCCTTTATTCAGTTGAATCACCTTTGGCAGCAATTACAGCCTTGAGTCTTGGGTATGACGCTACAAGCTTGACACACCTGTTGCCAGTCCTACGTTGTCTTGGCTGTGTGCTTAGGGTCATTGTCCTGTTGGATGGTGAACCTTCACCCAAGTCTGAGGTCCTGATCGCTCTGGAGCAGGTTTTCATCAAGGATCTCTCTGTACTTTGCTCTGTTAATCTTTCCCTCGATCCTGACTAGTCTCCCAGTCCCTGCCGCTGAAAAATTGTTTTGGTACCCTTCCCCAGGTCTGTGCCTCGACACAATCCTGTCTCGGCGCTCTACAGACAATTCCTTCGTCCACATGGCTTGGTTTTTGCTCTGACATGCACTGTCAACTGTTGGACGTTATATAGACAGGTGTGTGCCTTTCCAAATCATGTCCAATCAATTGAATTTACCCCACAGGTAGACTCCAATCAAGTTGTAGCAACATCTCAATGATGATCAATGGAAACAGGATGCACCTGAGCTCAATTTCGAGTCTCATAGCAAAGGGTCTGAATACTTAAGGTATTTCTGTTTTTTATTTTTAATAAATTTGCAAAAAAAATCTAAAAACCTATTTTCTCTTTGTCATTATGGGATATTGTGTGTAGATTGATTCGGGAAAATTTATTTAATCAATTTTAAAATGTGGAAAAAGTGAAGGAGTCTGAATACTTTCTGAATGCACTGTATAACACACACACCACCAACACGTTCCACTAGCTAGATAGTTGTGTTGACATGGGCATAGACGTTGGTAATGTCCAGATGAAGGTCAACATAGCCTTAGTGGACTACTGTCCTGTTAGATCATCACATCAATATCACCCAATACCTTCAATTTAGCAACAACTAACCTGCACCTGTCACTTAGTCCAACACATTGTCCCCTTCCGCTCTTTTCCCTTAGTTTTGGTTCTTGTTTACATTTTACATCGCCCACTTCCATCAAACAATGGATTTGTCCCAAATGGCATCCTACATTGAGGGAAAAAAGTATTTGATCCCCTGCTGATTTTGTACGTTTGCCCACTGACAAATAAATGATCAGTCTATAATTTTAATGGTAGGTTTATTTGAACAGTGAGAGACAGAATAACAACAACAAAATCCAGAAAAACGCATGTCAAACATTTTATAAATTGATTTGCATTTTAATGAGGTAAATAAGAATTAGACCCCCTCTCAATCAGAAAGATTTCTGGCTCCCAGGTGTCTTTTAAACAGGTAACAAGCTGAGATTAGGAGCACACTCTTAAAGGGAGTGCTCCTAATCTCAGTTTGTTATCTGTATAAAAGACACCTGTCCACAGAAGCAATCAATCAATCAGATTCCAAACTCTCCACCATGGCCAAGACCAAAGAGCTCTCCAAGGATGTCAGGGACAAGATTGTAGACCTACACACGGCTGGAATGGGGTACAAGACCATCGCCAAGCAGCTTGGTGAGAAGGTGACAACAGTTGGTGCGATTTATTCGCAAATGGAAGAAACACAAAATAACTGTCAATCTCCCTCGGCCTGGGGCTCCATGCAAGATCTCACCTCGTGGAGTTGCAATGATCATGAGAACGGTTAGGAATCAGCCCAGAACTACACGGGAAGATCTTCTCAATGATCTCAAGGCAGCTGGGACCATAGTCACCAAGAAAACAATTGGCAACACACTACGCCGTGAAGGACTGAAATCCTGCAGCACCCGCAAGGTCCCCCTGCTCAAGAAAGCACATATACATGCCCGTCTGAAGTTTGCCAATGAACATCTGAATGATTCAGAGGAGAACTGGGTGAACGTGTTGTGGTCAGATGAGACCAAAATCGAGCTCTTTGGCATCAACTCAACTCGCCATGTTTGGAGGAGGAGGAATGCTGCCTATGACCCCAAGAACACCATCCCCACCGTCAAACATGGAGGTGGAAACATTATGCTTTTGCCGTGTTTTTCTGCTAAGGGGACAGAACAACTTCACTGTATCAAAGGAAAGATGGACGGGGCCATGTACCATCAAATCTTGGGTGAGAACCTCCTTCCCTCAGCCAGGGCATTGAAAATGGGTCGTGGATGGGTATCCCAGCATGACAATGACCCAAAACAGATGGCCAAGGCTACAAAGGAGTGGCTCAAGAAGAAGCACATTAAGGTCCTGAAGTGGCCTAGCCAGTCTCCAGACCTTAATCCCATAGAAAATCTGTGGAGGGAGCTGAAGGTTCGAGTTGCCAAACGTCAGCCTCGAAACCTTAATGACTTGGAAAAGATCTGCAAAGAGGAGTGGGACAAAATCCCTCCTGAGATGTGTGCAAACCTGGTGGCCAACTACAAGAAACGTCTGACCTCTGATTGCCAACAAGGGTTTTGCCACCAAGTACTAAGTCATGTTTTGCAGAGGGGTCAAATACTTATTTCCCTCATTAAAATGCAAATCAATTTATAACATTTTTGACATGCATTTTTCTGGACTTTTTTGTTGTTATTCTGTCTGACTGTTCAAATAAACCTACCATTAAAATTATAGACTGATTATTTCTTTGTCAGTGGGCAAACGTACAAAATCAGCAGGGGATCAAATACTTTTTTCCCTCACTGTATTTCCTATATAGTGCACTACT